CTTTACTGGAAGATTCATGCTGACGCTGTTTCCGAGGCAATCTCCTTCGATTCCTGTGAAAACGTGCTAATCTTTCGTCCGTTATATGACGGACATCATCAGAGCGAGGTAACATCGTCACAACAAAATTCAAGCTAATGAGTCAAGGAAACTCACCGGCAAATCCTTAAAAAGTGGTATATATACTCTACATCTGGCCTCTTTGAAACAAGAGATTCCTCAAATCCCAACTTTTCTTCGTATAAATAATAAAGAAAGCGTGATGCATAAAATCTCACGGCTTTTATGCATACAGCTGCCAATTTTTGGCTATATTCAGTTAAAAATTCGAATGATTTTGTGAAATTGATTAAGCAGCAGACACTTTCAGAAAAAGATAGGCTGTTTTGATGTTGTGTCCATGCACACAAACATTCCTGTTCAAGGAGCTATTCAAGCTTTGATACAAACTCTGGAGGAGCATCCAGAGTCTGAGTGTAGCTTCCATTATTAGACTTATTAACCTATCCATGAGTACCACATATTTTACCTTTGATGGTAAGTTATATGAACAAACGCAAGGCTTAGTGATGGGATCTTGCCTGTTTCCCATCTTAGCAAAGAATTGTATGGCAAAATTGGAGGCACACTTCTTGCAAAAGGCAATACTAACACCCAACTTGTTGGTTAGATACATGGATGACTATTTTGTCATCTGGCCTTATGGTAAGGACAATTTAGATAGTTTCTTACTTTAGGAAAACACAAAAAGGCTTGTAAATGAAGTTGGGTCCCCCCGCCAGAAGTGGCCGAACACATTGTAGGACTGGACATGAAATAGAATGGTCTCAAACTAGTAGGTTTGCTGATTATGGTACGTCTGTGGTTAAAAGAAGGATAAGAGAGACTATCGAAATTAATAGCTTACGAAATACGTTGAATGTGAGGAACGATGGTAGAAAGTTGAGTAGTAACTACTTATGCTTGATTGATAGATTGAAGGAGAGAGAGGGTGTTGAGCCGTTGTCAAAAAGAAGGTGTTGGGTATAACTTCACTCGCACTCGTCCAACATGTTAGATTAAGCTAATCAACCAAACCAGACGTGGCAGTTACACAGCCCCAGTCATGCCTTTCCTTGTGGTGTTCAAAGTTAACGACCCTAGACTGAAAGGTTAGGACAAGTGGTTTCGTAACTTGACTTGCATGCTTACAAGCTCATATCTCATTATCTGAACCATACTTGCTTACTGACTTACACAGTCTCAGTCAGGGATTTCTCTTGGGCCATTAGGACTTGATGATCAGAGCCTAACTTTAACCTTTTGATAACTCTGATTTTGACCGGTATTGCCTATAGACGCTAACACACACACACTCGAGAAAAAGTGGCAGGACCAGTATGAAAGATAATTAACCAAACCAATCTTTATCAATCTAAGTTTTTAATTTTCTTTTGGCCTTATTGAGTCTATATAAGAGGTAAGATAGAGCCGGATAGACTTCTTGCCCTAGTGTTAACGTGAGACTTACAGGAATTACCCCCAGCTCTGATGATGTCCATCGAAACGAGGGAGGAGTTCTCGTGGACTGCGTCAACCTTAACGTCGTTTAAAAGCCAAATGGTTGCATTACAACGGGATTCATCTGTCCTCTTTTGGTGAGATTGACCTACAATTCGCTTCTTAATGCACTTTCTTACGAAATGAAAGTCCCCTCAATAATTTTACTTAGTCATGCTCTCAACGGATTTCTCGTCCGAGCTGGACTGCCAGTTGCGACCTCGGCTGGTTCTCTTCAACATCCTTAATGGAGTTCGGGCCGTGCAACGGTATCATGTGACCAAGCCATACAATTGTACGTAAAACTGTCAGCCAAATTAGGCAACCTGTGGTGGCTCTTGTTCTATACCTTTAATAAATTTATTACTCTTACTATAATCTACTGATAGTCTATACACCTTTCAAGTATAAATATAGGAAAAGGTTTTTCGGTAGTTTTGTTATCTGACTTTGTACGATGCTGGATGCTAAAATGTTATTTGGATGAAAAGTACTTTAGCATTCGTAATCTCTAGGTTCTCGAGACTATCTGTAGACCCTAACTAAGAACTATGGCGCATGTCTTTTCTTAGTTTCTTTGGAAAACTTCAACAATTGAGGGGACTCTCAAGCGCATTTACTGGTGAAATTTTTAAAGAAGACGAATGACGACATTAAGTTAGTGTGTACTAAAGTGTAACTAGACTTAAATGCTTTTTTATTATGAATTGAATCGACGGTTAATCACGTCTGAAGCCGAAGCAATAGGAATCTACAGATGAGACCGGCTTAACAAGTTCGTCATCCAAACTATTTA